GTCGACTCGGCCGGCTCCCTAGCGGCCAGGTTTCACAACTATGTCCATATGTGGCACGAAGCCGACCGAATTCGTGCGACGCGAACTCGAGGACGAGTAACAGTCTGTGACTTCCAGGTTGACCTTCCTCGATGCTGTGTCGACTGTAGATGTCGTCGGCGTGCTCCTTCAACGTCGCGTCAGCTATCGCCTGCTTCAGAAACAGTGAGCAGACTTTCAGGTCGTACATCGCTTCGCATTGATTATGTCGCTAATCTGGGAAAGAAAGTTGCGCGCGTGATATAGTAAATCGTGCATGCTTCATGTATAAAATCATGTATAATCTTTGGAATAGATACTCCGCGCAAGTAGAGTGAAGTACTCTTAAGAAGAATACGACAGGCGTTAATGAAACTTGCTTACAGCGCTACTATATATATATATATATTATATATATATATATATATATATAATATATAGCATACGTATATATATATATAATATATAATAACCACACGGTATTGACGTCATGTGCAAAATGCACTAATTGGCAAGACGGAAACGACTACGTTTTATACGTTTTGTGGACGAGTAGGAAATGAGTACCTTCCATTCGTTTCGGTCGGAATGGTCGGAAACCCGTACATCTCTAATGGCGAATAGGGGAATGGTGATCTCCCGAGCTGTGTAACGTATAAATCGGATTAATTTCTCTCATTAAAAAATCAATACAAGTATGTGAGGTTGCCGTGTCACAGGTTTTAGCGCCCCTTAGTTACCATGCCCCTGAGTAAATGCTGTTAACGATTATTCCTCAGAGAAAGTCTATACGGATTATTATGTGCGTGCTGCCATCTACTGGCGATTTTATTGTAGAAACACGTGCAACTGCAAAGAGAAACGCGTGCAACTGCCTCTAAGCATTCATTTTAGGTCTAGGCGCAATCTGAGTTAAAACTATAACATCGCTCTCTTGTTTTTATTCGTATGTTAACTATGTTCATATTTCAAATTTCGCAACTTGTAATTTCCAAATCCCATTTACTTTGTGCACGAGTTGAATGTTTTTCGTTCGAATGATCGTTGGCAATCGTTTATGAGCTAATGATTACTTCTAAAACAATGTAAAACGTAGATGACACTGTAGCAAAAGAAAACATTTCTAACGACGGATTGTATAGGCGCGAAACTCAATAATAAAACGGCACCACGTGGAATTCTCAGATGCCCACGAAACCAAGTAATGATACGACAATGGGATTCGTTAGTAAATCCTTTAACAGGTCAGAACATCTTGACTCGCATCTCATCGTGAGAAATATACTCGACGGAAAACGTCATTCTGCACGGGTGAAATGAGAAACGCGTGTCATGTCGAACTAACCCCAGAGGCTCTAGGCTATCAACATCGCCCCCCGCGGGACCTTGGCACCTCACTTACGCGATGTTTGTCTTCGTTATCAACGTAGCTTGTAATAGATTTTTGTCGTGCGTAGGGCAAAACTATTGACCTGATTATGATCATACTGCTCCAGCTTGTTACTAGCACTCGATGACGATCCAGAAGACTAAAGGAGTCTTAATTTACTAGGCCGACCTTTCGTAGACCCGAGGAAACGTAAATACGCGTGTATGTAGTAGCTATTAGTCTTTATTTTATGGATATTTCCCACATGTAAAACTCTTGCATGAAACACTACTTTGGCTGCAATCAATTTAAAATGATTATTATATAAGTAACAGCGATGCATGAAATGATAATCCTACATATCTTATACGTGACAATGTAATAACCGAACTGGTGGCGCTAACGTTTGTCGGAGAGGGAATAGAGAATAAGAAGGAGTGTGTGTGTGTGTGTGTGTGTGTGTGTGTGTGTGTGTGTGTGTGGTGTGTGTGTTTGTGTGTGTAGTGTGTGTGTGTGTGTGTGTGTGTGTGTGTGTGTGTGTGTGTATATGTGTGTGGGGAGATGTGTGTGGGGGGGATGTGTGTGTGTGTGTGTGTGGGGGGGGGGGGGGTGTGTGTGTGTGTGTGTTGTGTGTGTGTGTGTGTGTGTGTGTGTGTGTGTATACCTCATGGCTGTGAATCCACTCTCGCCGTGGCATTAGCAGGCTCCATCGCTCGCACGGACGCTCGGTCACCAACTTAAGAATTTTAATTGCTCTAAGCAAGTCGATGACGTCACGACGCTACTGTCGACTGATCATCATGATGTGGAAGACTTACTCAGTCTATACGGGGACGCGGCCAGTGTCGCTGTGTGTAAATGTAAACGACGAAAAATATCTATACAATAAAATCAGGAGTGGATAATAGAGTGGATAGAGTGGATAATAGAGTGGATAATAGAGTGTGGATAGAGTGGATAATAGAGTGGATAATAGAGTGTAGAGTGGATAATAGAGTGGATAATAGAGTGATAATAGAGTGGATAATAGAGTGGATAGAGTGGATAATAGAGTGGATAATAAGAGTGATAATAGAGTGGATAATTGAGTGGATAATAGAGTGGATAATTGAGTGGATAATAGAGTGGATAATAGAGTGGATAATAGAGTGGATAATAGAGTGGATAATTGAGTGATAATAGAGTGGATAATAGAGTCGATAATAGAGTGGATAATAGAGTGGATAATAGAGTAGATAGAGTGGATAATAGAGTGGATAGAGTGGATAATAGAGTGGCATTAATAGAGTGGCATAATAGAGTGGATAAAGAGTGGATACATAGAGTGATAATAGAGTGGATAATAGAGTGATAATAGAGTGATAGAGTGGATAATAGAGAGTTGGATAATGGATAATAGAGTGGATATAGAGTAGATAGATTGGATAATTGAGTGGATAATAGAGTGGATAATAGAGTAGAAGAGTGGATAATAGAGTGGTAATCGAGTGGATTAATAGAGGTGGATAATAGAGTGGATAATAGAGTGGATAATAGAGTGGATAATAGAGTGGATAATAGAGTGGATAGAGTGGATAATAGAGTGGATAATAGAGTAGATAGAGTGGATAATAGAGTGGATAATAGAGTAGATAGAGTGGATAATAGAGTGGATAATAGAGTGGATAATAGAGTGGATAGAGTGGATAATAGAGTGGATAATAGAGTGGATAATAGAGTGGATAATAGAGTGAGTGATAATAGAGTAGATAGAGTGGAACATAGAGTGGAATAGAGTGGATAATGAGAGTGGATAATAGAGTGGATAATAGAGTGGATAATAGAGTGGATAATAGAGTAGATAAGTGATAATAGAGTGGATAATAAGTGGATAATAGAGTGGATAATAGAGTGGATAGAGTGGATAATAGAGTGGATAGTAGAGGGATAATACGAGTGGATAATAGAGTGTAGATAGAGTGGATAATAGAGTGGATAGAGTGGATAAATGGATAATAGAGTAGATAGAGTGGATAATTTGATGGATAATAGAGTGGATAATAGAGTAGATAATGAGTGGATAATAGAGTGGATAATAGAGTGGATAGAGTGGAATTAAGTGATAGTAGAGTGGATTGAGTGGATAGAGTGGATAAGAGAGTGGAATAGAGAGATGGCATAATAGAGATTGGATCAATAGAGTGGATCAATAGACGTAGATTTAGAGTGGAATAAAGAGTGGCATAGAGTGGGATAATAAGAGTGGATAGAGTGGATAATTAGAGTGGACAGAGTGGATAATAGATCTCTATTATTTATCCTGATAAAATGTACACGAACATATGCATCAACATATCTATACAATAGAGATATTTATTGCACATATATCTATATCTATTTTTATTTTATTTTTTTATTGTATATATTCACGATGTAAGTAATTAGAAAAAGTTTCCTGAAACCATACACGCGTAATAGCGCTCACATTCACAGCTACATATTAAAGATAATTGGTCCGGCGGTATGTATGCAAGTAATAGGCCTAATCGCTCGCTAATTGTTATAGGCAGTAATATAAGCCTAACTAGAAGGCCGCAGCTCGGAGAGCAACAGACCCCCCAAGCAGTAAATTCTCTCAATGTGAAATTGTTAATTATTAATTAATTAATATCAAGTGGAAAAATAATTAATCAATTAAATTAATTAATATAATTAATTGGATGCCGATTACGTGCGAGCGTGCAGGGTGGGGAGACTGTGGTTGCCCTTAGCCTGGTGTTTGTAAGTTAACAGGCCAGGCAGCCAGCGAAGTGAACTGAACATGCATGGTAACAACACACACACACTACACAAACGAACAACATCAATGGCACCGCCCGGTGAAAACAATAACCTACGCCACGCCCCTGGCGGGGTAATTAATATAGGCAGCTCATTATATTAATAGGCTCTGTTATATTGTATCGAGTACATAAAGGTTGCATACCATAATAACGTGCATTCATACTTTCATATCGCTGTGTGTGCTTACATTGAAGTGGTTTCTACATGGTCTAAAGTTGGGCGGGGTAGCCCTGGTGAAGCAGACCTAGGAATCCACATCCACTGATAGGTACGTGCAATTGTACATTTCTGGCATCGCCGGTTATGTAATATGAGAAATAACATTGTCATTTGCATTTTGATTCTATATTGCGTATTTTGTATAGAGACTTGTCCGTATAGGCACAACAATCAAGAAGCAACCCTATAACGATGGCAGTAATTAAAATATCCAGCACGTAATTACACGTGTTGTGTTTGTGTTTGTGCATAGCGTGCGTGCGTGCTTGTGGTGTGTGTGTGTGTGTGTGTGTGTGTGTGGTAGTGAGTGTGGTGTGTGTGTGTGTTGGTATGTGTGTGTGGTGTGTTTGTTTGTTGTGTGTGTGTGTGTGTGTGGTGTGTGCCGTGTGTGTGTGGTGTTTGTGTGTGTTGTGGACTGTGTGTGGCGTCGCGTGTGTTTGTGTGTCGTGTTTGTGTGTGTGTGCTGTGTGTGTGTTGTGTGTGTGTGTTTATGTGTGTGTGTGCTGTGTGTGGTGTGATGTGTGTGTGTGTGTGTGCGTGTGTGTGTTCTGTCGTGTTGTTGTGTGCTGTGCGTGTGTGTGTCGCTGTAGTGCTGCGGTGGGTTGTGCTTGTGCGTGTTGTAGTGTGTGTTGTGTGTGTCGCTGTGTGTGTGTGGCTGGGTGTCTGTGTGTTGTCGTGTTGTGGTGTGTTGTTGTGGTGTGTGTGTGTGTTGTGTTATATATGTGTGTGTGTGCGTGTGTGTGTGTGTTGTGTTGTGTGTTTGTGTGTGTGCGTGTGTGTTGTGTGTGTGCGTGTGTGTTGTGTGCGTGCTTGCGGCGTGTGTTTGTGCTGTGTGTTGTGTGTGTGCATGTGTGTGGTGTGTGTGTGTGTGAGCGCGCGCGCGTGTGCGTGCGTGTGTGTGTGTTGGTGTTGTGTGTGTGTGTGTGTGTGTTTTGTGTGTGTGTTGAGTGGTGTGTGTGGTGTGCTGTGTGTTGGTGTGGGTGTGTGTGTGTGTGCGTGTGTCGTGGTGTTGGTGTGTGTGTGTGTGTTGTGTGTGTGTGTGTGGCGTGCGTGTCGTTTGTGTGTCGTGTGTTTCTTGTGTGTCGTGTGTGTGTGTGTGTGGTGTGTAATGTGTTGTGCTGTCGTGTGTGTTGTGTGTGTTGGGTGTGTATGTTGTGTGCTGGTTTGTGTGTGTTGTGCGTGTGTTGTGTGTGTGTGTGTGGTGCTGTTGCTGTGTGTGGTGTGTGTGTGTGTGCGTGTGCGTGTTGTGTGTGTGTGTGTGCGTGTGATGTGGTGTTGTATGTTGTGTGTGTGTGTGTGTGTGTGTGTGTGCGTGCGTGTGTGTGTGTGTGTGTGTGTGTGGCGTGTGTGGTGTGTGTGCGTGTTCGTGAGTATGTACTAGCTGAACTAGACAACATATGTATAGTTTATGTTCACATCAGGCATGTCTAGGCAGACAATAACAGGCTACCATCATGCGCCATCACTGCATGTAGAGAAGCTTGTCCACTCTTCGTGTGTCAGAGTGCGTCCTAACAGCCCTGCCTCAACTCAAGCTATGCAATTTATTTCGTCTAGCGGACTCTTCACCACGGTAAATGCATAATATAGGCGTATGAGTTATACTATGTAACATCATATCCTAAACAATTATAGACCGTCGGCGTGTAAGTTAGCGCGCTCTAGCAGCGTAGATGTAGCTGGTTGGCATACTGCACAGAACATAAGGTCGATTTTATCGGTTTTATCAATGTTTACCGCGATTTTATTCGATTTTATTGATTTTAATTGATTTTTATGCAATATTTCAGGTGTGTATAGGAGAGCCATTGAAAAGCATGTTAACGGGCTCTTGTTAAGACGTAAGTATACATAGATATGAATGAAAATAAAAATTTGAAGAGAAACACAGATTAAATAGGTTAACACCGTAAAGACCTGTGAAGCACTGAACGAATGCAATTATGTCTCTACAGTTCTCTCGCTCTCGCTCTTCCTCTCGCGCGCTCTCTCTCTCTCTCTCTCTCTCTTTTTTTCCTCTCTCTCTCTCTCTCTCTCTCTCTTTCCCTCTCGCTCCTCTCTCTCTCTCTCCCTCTCTCTATGTTTCTCTCTCTGCTCTTGCTCTTCTCTCTCTGTCTCTCTCTCTCTCTGCTCTCTTCTCTTATCCCTCCTTGATCTCTCTTCTCTCTCTCTCTCTCTCCTCACGATCTCTCTCTCTCTCTTCTTCTCCTCATCTCTCTCTCTCTCTCTCTCTCGCTCTCGCTCTCCTCCCGTCTCTCTCTCTCTCTCTCTCTTCTCTCTCTTCTCATCTTTCTCTCTCTCCGTCTTTCTTCTCTCTCGTCTTCTCGTCTCTCTCTCTCTTTCCGCTCTTGCTACCTCTCTCTCTTCTCTCTCTCTCTCTCTCTCATCTCTCTCTCTCTCACCCTCTCTCTCTCTCTTTCCTCTCTTCGATATATAATAACACACGTATTGACGTCATGTGCAAAATGCACTAATTGGCAAGACGGAAACGACTACGTTTATACGTTTTGTGGACGAGTAGGAAATGAGTACCTTCCATTCGGTTTCGGTCGGAATGGTCGGAAACCCGTACATCTCTAATGGCGAATAGGGGAATGGTGATCTCCCGAGCTGTGTAACGTATAAAATCGGATTAATTTCTCCATTAAAAAATCAATACAAGCATGTGAGGTTGCCGTGTCACAGGTTTTAGCGCCCTTAGTTACCATGCCCCTGAGTAAATGCTGTTAACGATTATTCCTCAGAGAAAGTCTATACGGATTATTATGTGCGTGCTGCCATCTACTGGCGATTTTATTGTAGAAACACGTGCAACTGCAAAGAGAAACGCGTGCAACTGCCTCTAAGCATTCATTTTAAGTCTAGCGCAATCTGAGTTAAAACTATAACATGCGTTCTCTTGTTTTTATTCGTATGTTAACCATGTTCAATATTTCAAATTTTGCAACTTGTAATTTCCAAATCCCATTTACTTTGTGCACGAGTTGAATGTTTTTCGTTCGAATGATCGTTGGCAATCGTTTATGAGCTAATGATTACTTCTAAAACAATGTAAAACGTAGATGACACTGTTAGCAAAAAGAAAACATTTCTAACGACGGATTGTATAGGCGCGAAACTCAATAATAAAACGGCACCACGTGGAATTCTCAGATGCCCACGAAACCAAGTAATGATACGACAATGAGCTTCGTTAGTAAATCCTTAAACAGGTGAGAACATCTTGACTCGCATCTCATCGTGAGAAATATATTCGACGGAAAACGTCATTCTGCACGGGTGAAATGAGAAACGTGTGTTATGTCGAACCAACCCCAGATGCTCTAGACTATCAACATCACCCCCCGGGACCTTGGCACCTCACTTACGCGATGTTTGTCTTCGTTATCACGTAGCTTGTAATAGATTTTCGTCGTGCGTAGTGCAAAACTATTGACCTGAATATGATCGTACTGCTCCAGCTTGCTACTAGCACTCGATGACGATCCAGAAGACTAAAGGAGTCTTAATTTACTAGGTTCGACCGTTCGTAGACACGAGGAAACGTAAATACGCGTGTATGTAGCTATAGTCTTTATTTTAAGATATTTCTTCATATAAAATTTCTGCACGGACACTACTTGTGCTGCAATCAATTTAAAATGATTATTATATAGGTAACAGAGATGATGAAATGATAATCCTTAAGCTAACGAGACTTTGACGTAGTTGACATTTTACGCGGTATGTGAATGGCTCCATGTTCGTAGTTGTTCTGTCCCACGTGACTCTCCCACCCGTGGTCAATGTAATAGTAAAGGTTAACCATAATTGTACCCTCTACTATTATACGCTCCGCATGGTTTCCGGATTTTTCGGATGTAACAATGTCCAGTCGTACCGAAATAGGAACGCATGAACGCGCGAAAGGAAATGTACCTTTTTACTGAATGATGGCGCATTCATCATCGTTGAATGGCATTCAAACTTCAGAAAACTTGTATCGCCAGCGTGCAATCAAAAGTTGTCACATGAAATTCAACAGCATGCGACCGCAATTGAAATGCCCTCCGTAGATGCCGCTTCCACTGTTACCCTACAGCATACTGCAGGCTATATGTGTTTGCCTATACACGTATCAATAGGAAAACGCACAACGTAAAGATAATATACCTTCACATGTTTTTGCTGCCATCTAGCGGCCACAGTTCGGCGTAACCCATGCAGAACGGTCAATCGATATCAGCGCATGATATACACCGTCGCTCTCGTTGCTGTTACGTAAGAACTTCCAACATATTTATTTGCATGCGTAAACTCACGCTCACTCGCATAAATTGTTACAAACATTTTGTGCCAACACTTAACATATAATCATAACACGATGATAGGATAACGCGCTTATAATATAACTGTTCACGATAACATATCACTTAACATATCACGATATAATAATATACAATGTAATATAAATATAATATATAATATATACTATATATGTATATAATGTAATATATAATATAACAATTAACATATCATGTTATAATATTCAATGTAATATAAATATAATATATAATATATGTATATAATGTAATATATAATATAATATAACTGTTTCCGTGCGCGTTCTCAGACGAAGTTTACCACGGTTTTCACGGCGAGCCTTGCCTCGTAGCTCTTCTTGATTTTACCGAACACTTCAACGACAAACTCCAGATAGTTAACAAGATCCCGCATGAGCAGGTAGTCGCGAGCGACTCTCGTCGACTCGGCAGGCTCCCTAGCGGGCAGTTTCACAACTATGTCCATATGTGGCACGAAGCCGACGAATTCGTGCGACGCGAGCTCGAGGACGAGTAACAGTCTCGTGATTTCAAGGTTGACCTTCTCGATGCTGTGTCGACTGTAGATGTCGTCGGCGTGCTCCTTCAGCGTCGCGTCGGCTATCGCCTGCTTCAGAAACAGTGAGCAGACTTTCAGGTCGTACATCGTTCGCATGATTATGTCGTTAATCTGTAAAAGAAAGTTGCGCGCGGGATAGTAAATCGTGCATGTTTTACGTATAAAATCATGTATAAATCTTTGCGAATAGATCACCGCGCAAGTAGAGTGAAGTACTCTTAAGAAGAATACGACAGGCGTTAATGAAACTTGCTTACAGCCGCTATATACGATAGTAGGTCAGAAGTAGAGTGTAGGATTGTATAATGATAGACGCCGTGATTAAAACATGAAAAGAAGTTTTGTAGTGCAAAGGAGAGCATATTTTTCGGTGATATTCTATGTTATTGCATTATAAAGGCTATATCGCAAGGTTTTAGCATTTTATAGTGTTTATATATTCAGGCAGGGTATAACTAGTAACACTAAAACAGACTTCGTCATTATAATATAGTTAACTTACTAGGGTACAGAAACACTAGGTTGGGGTCAATTATTGCTCTTTGTTAGTAACTAGTACTAGTACTCAGTTATATGTATCAGCTGTATAACTAGTAAGTCCTGGGACTAGTATAACTAGGTACTAGTAGTACTTACCACTACTATAAGTATTTTTTATATTAGAAAATGAGCTGTAATTGGTGTTGGTTATAATGATAAGATAGCAAAGTACTGCGGTATGAGGTGGTAGTTGGAGAGTACAATATCGGAAGTGATCGTCTGTGAGGGGATCTCGTTGTTTAGATTATCATAACTAGGCGATATGTAGTATTGTCCCTACGTGCCTGTGGATATTAGTAACGAAGGGAGAGTACTGCATCGTGATACGCGATTGTATCGTGAGCTAGCCAAGCCCTACAATTTGGGTTTATTGGGGACTCCATGGATTCTTCTAATCCTTCGGTGCCGGTCCTAGTCGCGCTCCGAAATGCTATCGTTCGGGAATCTTCTACGAAACCACTATACGTTTCAAGCTTCCAACTGTTCACAGTTTGGCATGTCTGCACATCCACCAGCTTATGCTTTTGCAAAATGTTTAGATTCATATTCAATGAGGAGTGTAACTGAATGCAGAGATCACAATCAGTCAGACTAACAAGGTGACAACAGAAATACTTTTAATCGGTGCGTAAATTATTACGAATAAGCGAAGACAATTGTGAGCAAACAATCCTCTAGTGAAGCCCTACAACTCAAGCGCACTTCAACACCTGAAACGCTGAGCGGCTATATATTGTTAGCATGATGTCCAACGAAAAAACTCCGGCTATTTACAGAAAAGAAAGCGCGCCTAGTACCGCTACGGAAAGATTGGCAGGCATTTTGCTAGCCGTCTCTTCTTACATAACTCGGGTTATGAGATGACCTCGTGCAAGTGGGCAGAACTGCTCAATCAGACGAAAAGCCGGCCATGCGTGAGTACGAATGACTCTATTCGTATTCGAAGTAAGTCTTCCACAGGATAGTGGAGAAGTATCAGGAACCTAGGGAAATACCTGATATAGATGGGGGTTTGGGAAAGCAGGGATGTTGAGTACAATAGAAATGCGGTAATTCACCTTAAGCTCACTTATAGGGCTATAGACACACGTTGCAGCGCTTCGCGCGGAATATCCGCTGCAGATCGTCCAGTAACTTTGGCCAGTAAGCTTACCAGTAACTTGCTATTAATTAACCAGTCGTGTATGTAGGCCTAATATATACTCTGGTTGAAAACACTTAAGACCATCACTAACTGACGCGACAAACGAATATTCATAGTTGGTGCAGAACAAACTGTTAAATGACACCAAATTAAACAATGAGTATCTTTGCTAAAATGGTTACTATTTTTGTCAGCGTCCATTCCATATTCCAATATATTGTCAATTCTAAAATCATGGGGCTAGGAATTACAAATTTCAGATGCCAGTTAGACTATATAATAATACTATCAAAGGATAATTCATTGACTTGAACGATGTAGCAATAAGTAACGTCATTTTCCCCTAATGAGATTATGCCTGATGTCTATCTCAAACAATTAGATTAGTGTCAGGTGCCGTGTATCATCTATGTTATACATGGAATGGTTACTCGAAATTCATCATAGCTTGAAGGTAATCGAGCCCATTGCAAATACAAGAAAGGATTTATACATGTCATCTGAATGGTGAGTAGGCTTGTCTTATGGTGGCCCACTAGTACAATCATGTTGCCCACTCATAGGCCGTTACAGTTTGAAATTACATACGCCGCTTCGAAAATGATAGTTTTAATGGCAATGTATAGTTTATGGTAACCAATGGCTCGAGGCTAAAACAGCCTTGCGCAGCTGCGCTGATCTCTCACAAATAGGCCTACGACGATGACGTGTACCTAAGTTAACCGGCGTTATGTATCCAGAGTAGCCAGTCTCTGACAGACATATAAATTGATACATGCGGCATAGACTAACACATGCTACAATGTCGACGCAAGACAACTTTGTGCTAGATGCGGAAACAGGTAACATGCAATCGAAAGTTACAAATAGAATATCCTGACTATATTAATATTCGATATGAGCGTTAGCTATCTTGCACGATTTGGGTTCCACTTGTTACCTTCTATTTGGCTGGAATATTCCACGTCCACAGCTCAACGAAACGAGCCGGAAAATGAAGACACGAGAAAAATAAATCCAACTCTGAGATAATCGGAACAAGAATATCGTACCCGCTGAAATCCTGCCGCAAGCACATGCCCAGACCGTTCAAAGTCGGTGAAACCACGCTTACACGACACCAGGCAATATACAATGCTCCATAAACTATTTTAAGTAACAATTAACCCAAGTTACTAGTCTACAGCTACGTCTACAAAAAACATGCCCATTAAAACGAATTAGAGACGCATTCATGAAGCTTTGATACGCAATATCCACATCCAATCCAAACAAAACACTATAAATGTATATCTTACACTAACGGCGCGAACGATTTCATGGCACCCTGAGGTAAGACACTCAGACCAACCTAGTTGTTCCATCCAGTTCTCTTTCCACTTCGCTCCTCGAGAATTACACTTACTGAAGAACTCTACAGACGCTTATGAACTCCATCATAGATGGCCGATCGCTCAATCGCAGAAGCCTCCTAGCGAGTGCGGGCCAATCTCCATAGCCTGATGTAACATATACTTTGCGCTTGAGGCAATTTAGTGTAGCGTGTTGAACTGTCGAACACGCTGGGGGACTTTCAGTCAAGTTAAATAGAGTCGGTCTACGTCGCAAACGATACGACATTTAAAAACTCTCCCCTAAGGCCAACGCTATCCTACAGCCTCGTTGGCCCGCCCTTTATATCGTATCTCTAAGCTACAGGCAAGTCAACCGCGCTTACTGGCAGGAGTGATGATCCATGTACGCTTTATTGTACAAGTGTTGAACAAAAAACCATTCCGTTATTACCCACGGCAAAGAAAACCTGCGCGCCTGAGTAACGATAACACAAGATGGCAGCTTTTGCTTAGCCAGGCTCTACACTAACTGGGTAGTGCGCGATTCCCATCGTGGAATGCGCAGAACCTGCCGATGAGAGCGAAAGACGCCGGCTCATGCTCTCGACTAAAGGAGCGAGCGATACTCGTGCCGTTGGGTATAAAGGCAGGCGGATTGTTGAGTAAGATGCGTGCCACCTACGTGGCGTTTGAAGCGCTTCGCGCAGGAATATGTCCGCTGCCAGATCGTCTAGCTATGGCAATTATTTCTGCAAGACTCTTCAACCACGGTAATTTGCATATAGGCGTCATGCGTTATATATGTACATCAATTTCAAACATTATAAACCAGTCGGCGTGGTAAGTATAGCGGAATTAGCAGCGTAAGATGTAGGCTGTTGATACTGCACAGGCATACGTCGACTTTTATCGTTTTATTCATGTTACCGATTTTATCGATTTTATTGATTTTATTGATTTTTATCAATATTTAGGTGTTTATAACGAGGCCACATTGAAAAAGATGTTACACGGGCATCTTGTTAAGACGTAAGTATAATTAAGAATGAATGAAAAATAAAAATTTGAAAAGAAACAACAATTAAATGGTTAACCACCGTAAAATAACTGTGAAGATCACTGAACCGCTAATTCATAATGTCCCTCTAGCCACGTTCTCTCGCTCTCGCTCTCTCTCTCTCTCTCTCTTTCTTTCTCATCTCTCGCATCTCTCTCGTCTCTCTCTCTCTCTCTCTCTCTCGTCGCTCGTCGCTCTCAGTCCGCTCTCTCTCCTCTCTCCTTCTCTCTCTGTTCTCTCATTCTCTCTCTCCCACGCTCTTTCGTCTCGTCATCGTCCTCTTTCTCTCTTCTCTCTTTCTCTCTCTCTCTCTCTCGTCTTCCCTCCCTCTGCTCGCCTGCAGCTCTTCTCTCTTTTCTCTCTCTCTCTTCTCTCTCTCCATCTTCTCCCCCTCTCTACTCCTCTACCTCTCTTTCCCTCCTCTCATCTACTCTCTCCTTAGGTTACTTAACCATAACTAATAACATTCGGTGATTTAATAATAGTAATAGCCATAGTAATAGAATAGATCCAGTGAATTCCCTCTATCACACTAACCAGGTTACAGACATAAAGGGCAGGAGCATTTTCATCATGCGATTCGAAATCAGACACGTGTCTATACAGGCAATCACAGCCGTAGCGTTTAAATTACGTTACGGCTGCTTTCTTATGTTATTAGTTAGATCTTACGCCCCACAGATAAATATAAGGTGTATTAATACTAGGAAATGTGCAGCTGCGATATAAACGAAAATGCGCCTGTTGTAAATGAAGTATATTTTTGATAAAACCTCGAACAAACTTTAAAAGCATTGCGCACAGTATTTAAGTAAAGGCATGCACGTGTAGCCATAGTTGTTTATCCGCGAGTGGTGTGTGGTGGTGTGGTTTGATGTGTGGTTTGGTGGTGTGTGTGTGGTGTAGTCGTGTGTCGTGTGTGTGCGTTTGTGCATATTGTGCTATTGTGGCTAGTCGTCCTATTGAAATATTGTAGAATTGTTGCCCGACCTTCTTGTAGATGATTACCAATACTGCGACTGCGCATTAGACAAATAGATAATAAGAATATCATTCCATTAATAGCAGTTCATTTCGTACCTATCCAGGCTCCAAGTAGCTACCCCTCGCTCTAACTGTGTGCAATTACTCACTACACTAATTATTGGCTTCATTGCGACTCCTGATTGTGATGCACGTACAAATTTAAAGCGGGTCTTCCACACAACACACACACACAACACACACACACACACCACACACACACACACACACACACACCACACACACACACACAGCACATACCACACACACACACACACACACACACACACACACACAGCACACAGCACACACACCACAACTAGACACACACAACACACACACACACACACACACACAGCCACACACACACACACACACACCACAGCCACACACACACACACACGCACACCACACACGCACACACACACCCCACACCACACACATGTACAACACACACACACACACACACACACACACTACCAACACACACACACACACACAGCACACACGTTGGGGTTGTGAGTTGTGTGTGCGTGTGTGTGTGCTGTGTGTGTGGTGCCTGTGGTTGTTGTGTGTGTTGTGTGGTGTGTGT